ATTTCATGTCATTAGCACCTCTAGTAATATATTTACTGAGAAAAATGGTGACTTGTTCAATACTTATTTTACCCGCTGTATATTTTTAAGTGAGGAACAAAGTACATTATATGCTGAAAGAAATATAAACAGGTGAAAGGGCAATGAAGTTTAAGTAAGTTAAAAAAAATTAAATATCAAATGTCGCAAAGATAAAGATGTCGACCAGCTGGATGAATAACTGACGAGATGGATGAAAAACCAGTGATCCTTATCAGAAAAAAATATTACATTCACATTAGGAATCTCATGCAAAAATTACTGTACATAATCTCCAAAATTATTTTTTTTACCACCAAATATTAATTCTAACCTTTCACCTAATGTGAAATTCATGTTTTGGCTGTAAGTTTGAAATGCTGTTTCACTGCTTCGCTTCAGCTGCTTCAACACAGTTCACACACATTCGCACAAAATATGTCTATGCATTGAGAGCACACACACACACACACACACACACACACACACTTAAACATTCATGAACAGAACCAGAACCGTTCTCATTATTGCTGAAACCGGGTTTTTTCATCTCTTGGTCAAACAGCCAATCAGAGCGCAGCGTCACGACACCTCAGAGACGAGACTTCAGAGGTAATAATAAATACTGCTGTGGTCCTGGTCCTGGTCCGGTCCCGTCCCGTCCCGGGTCGAGGAGGAGTAGGGGGGCGGGGTCTGTGGTGGGTTGAAATGATTGGCGGGCGGTGCGACCGGGCCCACCTGTGACCCGGTTCTGTGCATTGTGTTCAGGTGGGATGCAGGATTATTGCTGTGGTTCTGGAGCTCCGGTCCGGTCGAAGCTGGAGGTCTTCAAGTCAGTCAGGACAGGAGGATTGTGGGTAGTGTAGTCCACCTGCAGAAACTACAGACGGGTTCAGGTCCAGAATTGGCCCGGGTGGTTCTGAACCCCTCAGGCTTCAGTCAGGGACTCTGTGGGGGTCTCATCTGAGGGGTCCTGCTGGACCTCCGGGACCACGATGTTCCGGTGGAGCTTCTCCAACGACTGCTTCATCTGAGGGGACAAACAGGACACCGGGTCGCTTCGGTTCTGAAGACCCAAACACATCTCTGGTTCTGACAGGTGGACTCACCTGGTCCAGGACTGAGACAGGTGCACTCACCTGGTCCAGGAGTGTGACGGAGGACTGCAGGATCTGCTGCCACTTGCTGAGCTGGGCCTGATGGAACCGCCTCTGCAGGTGCAGAACCTGAGCCCACTCCCCCGCCGTCTGAGGCAACGGACTGCAGGATAGACGGGTCAGAACCAGAACCCTCTAACAGACCACAGATGCTTAGCCCCGCCCCCTGAGGTGAGCTCACCTGTCAGTCACAGAGTAGGAGTGCCATCTCTCCAGGGTGTGAGCGGCCCGCTCCAGAGAGTACAGCTTGTAGAACAGCAGCATGTTGAGGGCCACCAGAACCACCAGGCTGCAGGTCCAAACACACAGAACAGGGTCAGAACCACCAGAGTGACAGGTCCAAACACACAGAACAGGGTCAGAACCACCAGAGTGNCACACACACACACACACACACACACACACACACACACACACACACACACACACACTTAAACATTATGCACAAACTGTTCAGACTGAGCAGCTGGAGAGCTCAATATACGTTTGTGCTGCAGATGTTCTCAATTTCTCTCTGTCACTCAGGCACACACACGCAGATTTTCACACAAACACATGGAGGCGCATATCACGTGGCTTGCATAAATGATGATAAAACTCAGGTACAGATAAAAGATTGGGGTGTTATCTTATACGTCTCTGGGCTGTTCCTGAGGCAGATTTTGGTCTCCCTGTCCCACCCAATAACATTAATAATTGACAAATCAGGTAAAAAAAATATTGGTTTTCAGTCACTGCCATTATTGGTTTTTGTCCWGTTGTGTTTTGAGCTGATAATGCTGAACTAAAAATGCACATGACACTAACGTTTTTTTTTTCTTGTCTTATCAGAAATACATACTCAATTATAACAGTTTTTTCTTTTTTTCACATAACCCAGAGCTACAAGAAAAAGATAAGGTAACTTGTGTAAAATATGCAGAACGTGATTCAGAATATAAAACAAACTTCCAGACAAGAAGATAGGTTTTATCTGCCTGGTGTGTCAATGGATAAACAAAGCCAWTTTTTAAAGAGCTCTGAAATAAACCCTCCTTCACAATCGGTGAAAAATAACAAACCAAAGAAAACAAACCAATAAAGCAAAAATGCCTTTTTTTTGTTTTGTTTTTTGTTTTGGAAAACCAACTTCTATTCCTATAACTGTGGACATTAAGTTAGTGGAAATAAACAGATACCTAAGCTGGACAGGAGGAACTTTTCTGTTGGGAGAGGGAGGAAAGGACGGGTTTCACTGGGAATCAACAAGGAATCCCTTGCAACAGATGTCTGATTGCAATAAAAATACGTGTGGCTCAACAGCATATTTTCACATCTCATATCACTTTGCTGTCTGTCCTCTATATGTGCTGTGAACGCTGATCACAAAATACTCCTCTCAAATTACAGAACAACGTCCTAAAATAAAAATAAAAAATATTACAAAGCATTAAGGACCTCAGAGTTATCAGGGTGTAAAATCAGTCAAACAGGAAAACCTCTTCACGTGCTTGGGAACCTAAAGTGTCCGATTGCACCACATAAGGTATTTTGTTTTTGCTGGTTTCTTTTCTTTTCTTTTTTTTTCTTCTTTTTTTTACTTTTGCTGTGTGTACAATTTGTATCCAACATGTAATTTTTTGGGATGCTTTCTGCTTTGTTTCTTGTATAATGGCATCTTCACAGCATCAAATACAAGTCTAGCATATTTACTGCAGCATTTTGGATAGTTTTCTGCATTTTTATGTGAATGTAGGCATTTCTAAAAACAGTGTTGTGTTTGTGAATGAAAGCAATATTCGTAATTAAAAAAACAACAACAATTCATTGTAGAAAAATGACAATGGTGGTATTTGATTTGTTTGCGTTTACAGTTATGGCTATAGACGCAAGATAACAAATAAGTTCAAATATTAGTACTCAAACAGCTTGTAATGTAAAAGTGATAGAAGTGATTTAAAGGAGACATATCATGCTTTCAAAATCTTCTTTTTCGAACACTTTACATTCAAACCATTCAGTTGGGGACATATAAATTGGAATTGCAAGGCTTTGGTCTCAGTTCCTCCTTATTGTAACTCCACAAAMCCCTCGTTTACCCCTTTTCTGAGTCTCAGGTCAATTAGTTTTGAGGCTGTCTCTTTAAATCTACACCTCACACCTCATCCCTCATCCCCTAAAGCTYCCAGACTAGTTCATTCTAGTTAGCTGTGTAGGAACCTTTTATTTACAAATTAATTAAAATATTTTGACAATAGAAGACTTGTCCATCCAGCATTACATGTTGGAGCCAGAGTCTGACACAGAACCAGAAGGGATGGAAGACAACAAAATAGTAGTTGGGAAGTTCAGACCTTATTTGGCAAATACATCGCAAATACTTTGATTCAGAAAACATAATAAAAAAACTGAACAGGTTGAACGATATGACCCAAATAGTAAGTAAAGATATCAATGCACCATAAGGAGAGACTAAATTCWAATTTTCTGCACTCTTACAGACTCTGAGTACACAACAAAATGAATTTAATGGGTAAAAAAAGTGAATTTTGCATGATATGTCCCCTTTGAAACAGAAATATAAATGCAGCCTATTCAATATTAGACAAATGACAACAATCTGCAACTGAACTAACGTGTCAGTTCAGTAAATTCCATGTTTTAGCAGAGATGTATTTCAAAAGCAAACAAAATATTCGGCTTGTTGAAACAAAAAGCTAACGAGTCGCTGCTGAATCACATTTAAATTCATAGATGGTGCTTCTATTCTCTTCATGCATTTTACTGGATGCTTGAGCCTGAACAGAGCATCACAATGAGAGATCAACACCAGCACATAGATCTATTTTATTTCTATTTTACTAGCATAAATACTTTACTGCTGTCCGGAACTACAATTTAATTCCTCCACGCAAGCTCACCTGTCTTTTTTTCCCCGTCTGCATCTCTTTCAGTCTCAGGCAGACTTGACCAGTTTGGGTAAAATGTAATCAACCACGGCGCAGGCACAACTAATGGAATGCTTACATCACAAGATGCCACACAGCTTGACATACCTTCACATTTTCTAAAGAAGAGACGAGCACAGAATTCTGAACAAGTAATTCTGATGTATAGCAGATAGACAGAGAACAGAACAAACAGAATAGGAAGCACAGATAGGCAGATGTACACAGATAGGAAAAGATAAAGGAAAATCGATCAACTTGTCCTCATTTTCCTCCAGATAGGACAGAAAAAGTTGGTCCTTTTCGCTTTGTGTCCTGGCATTGTGGCTACACTCTGCAGAGTGGATGAATAAATCTCTGGGAATTGAGGAAATACTTGATATTCTTTGTGTCTTTGTGAAGCTCAGCCATTGTGGAACTACACGCCAATTCAAATACTTTGTTCCCTCTGCTAAAGAAATGGAAATGGGTTCTGACCATTTTAACACTTCTTCAACATTAGACTAGTTTTATAAATGAAACAAATGATAGATCCACTTTTTGTGCTATGTAAGATGCTCACATCTAAAAAAACTAAGAAATATGAGTTTGTGTAAAAAATGTCTGAATTTTTGCTTTATGCATTGTTAATTAACAGCTTATATTGCTCCAGTTGTGCAGACACAATCAGCAGGCAAACTTTTTAAACACAATAAGTTTCTTAAGCATACAAAAAATTAAATATGACATTATTTGTGACCATGGTGACTTAAACACATTGCTTCTCACCTGACACTAAGCTCATCACACTTTGTGTATGTGAGAAAGAAGTACATTTACACTTGTTTGTTTTTAATGATWTGTAAAGGCTAATATTGGACTGTGCAGTCTAAAACATGACATTAACCTGTCCTCTGAAAAAACTAATGATTTAGAAAGATGGGGGATATATTATAAGGAGGGGAGGGGCATAAATGTGAGCTGTGTGTTCTAAGTAAAGTCTAATTTCCATGATTAAACTCTGATTTGTTTGAATATTTTATAGGAGACAATAAAGATTATAGGAGATAAAAGACTGCCAAGGTAGTTATGAGTGTCACTGTTTGGGTAAGTGTGTGTGTGTGTGTGTGTGTGTGTGTGTGTGTGTGTGTGTGTGTGTGTGTTGTAGATGAGGCCAAGTATCTGCTGTGAGTTCAAAACAAACCTTTGGGAGACAATGCACGTGTTCTGGAGTACGCACAAAGAGACTGAGACATAAAAGCCAACGACCATCCATAAATCTGTATCACATAATGGAAATAAAAACCTATTGAGAAAACAAACCATTATCTTCAAGTGGGAATGAATAACTTGCAGGCTAATGTGACCCTGCTTTTTTTCCCCTGGGACTTTTAAATTGGTATCTTGATATAAATGTTACTGAAAAATTAAACAAAAGTTTTATTCTGGTAACAACTTTGGATTCATTCACTGATTTGACAATAGGGTATAGCCTTATTCAACCATTACATTACTGCACTTTTAAATGTAGTATTTTTATACTCTGAGACCTACATTTAGACAAACCTGATGAAAGAGTGCTGCTTAGCTTCAAGGACTTTTCTTTTTCCTTCATTTAAGCCTTTATCAAAAATATAATGTTATGGCAATATT